GCTAGGGTTATTAAGAAAGCTAGGGTTATTAAGAAAGCTAGGGTTATTAAGAAAGCTAGGGTTATTAAGAAAGCTAGGGTTATTAAGAAAGCTAGATAGGTATAACGAGAAAATCGCGTTTTTTAAAAACTGTCGATACGTAACTTGAAATCTCGACTATGAATCCACTTTCTGCGCTCTTATATAAAAAAAATATAATTTCTAATCTAACCTTAACGTAGATTTTTTACTTTAAAATATTACACATATCGAAATTGATTCATCAAAGAGAGATATCTCAAGCTAATGAAATTAAAAGTTCCTAATAATAATATTATATACTTTTTTCAAAATTTGAACGAAAATATCTAAGCAATTACCTATCTAATCCATAATATAGGATAAAAATAAAAAAAAGTTTTCATTGATTTTAGGTGGGCAGTTATCGTGGTATTATCGATCAAAGTTAGGAAAAACTTAACTGCTGACTTTGTTTTAATAATTGTCTAAATTCTTTTTAACTTCGAACAATAATTTCTCGACAACAAAATCAGTAAAGTATTTTTATGAATCCATAGGATAAAATAAAAAAAAACTTTCATTGATTCTGAATATGCAATGCACGCATACCGCGCTTAGATTTACTTCGATGATCATCATTACATGAATTATTAAACGTTTAAGAGCAAAAGGGCGATTGAATTCATTTTTTAAAAAAAAATTTAATATATTAACCCTAAAATTTCGGTTCGGTTTGAAGCTCTAACCCGAAAATTATCAACCCGACCTGTTCGGAGCACACTCATAAGGTGATGCCAATTGTAGTAATCAGGATGATTATGATCCTTAATGTGTAATTGGAAATTTTATTATTTTATTATTTGTATATTATTTTGTCGTCCCGGCAATATAATTATTTATAATAATAAAGAAGAGGTCTGATGGGCTCCCAATTTTTTACTTTTACGCGATTTTTTACAATGTAGTTTTCAATTATTAATTAGTGGAGACACAGGTAGAAAAGTGTCGATGCGAAATAAACCTTTTTTGATCCCAGCTTAATATGCGTAAATTGAGCAATCTGATTTTCTATAAGTTTCACCGGTATTTAAATTGTAGTAATAACCTTCATCATCTTCATCAGAATACATCGCGCCCATATAATCATCATTATTCCCACTATTGTTAGAGGGATCCAAGTTAAAACTCCAAATAATCAGAGATGTTTGTCTGCGTAACAGTATCTGTATAATTAGATGCAATCTCTTCAGTAGATATACTTACCTCAGTTTCAGTAGTTATACTTATCTCAACTTCTGGTAATTCCGAATCTTGATTATTTTCTTGGGATAAATCTAAAGGAATTGATTCAGTAGGTATACTTACCTCAGTTTCGAATAAATCATCTGAAGAACTATCTTGATCTTTGGTGAAATGATCTATTATCGTTTGAATCTGAGAATTAGTGAATTTTGAAATAGTATCCGCAATATGTTTTGATGTATTGAATCTTATCCATTCCTATTTTTTCGAATAAATTGTCAATTCTTAAAGCTTTCTATGATTGCCTACATAAAGTTTTGCGTTTAGTGACAGGTAGCTGTTTGATAATAAAATCATATACTTGACCTTTTGCCTTCTTTTCCCCAACTTTATTACTGACCATAAAACCTTTATGCATGCTTTTGAATCCTCTAGCATAGAAACACCAACGCATTTGCACCAATTTCCGCATCACATGCATTTTTATATAGACTAATAATATCCCATTATCGACAGTAACTGGGGCATAGCTGGAATAGATGGAGTTATTGAAGTCTCATTATTTGAGCAAACTTGGTTCGCTGAAATTTCAGTCACATGCTTTTCTTCTTTAGATAAAATCATTTCTCGAATTAAGCCCTGTTCATTTTTCCGCTTACGGGAAACAGTGGACGCAAAATTCTGAGAAATCGAGTGTGCCTCCTGGCTAGGTGAATCACACTGAAGTTTTTCTTCCCTATTCCTCCTGCCTAATCTCATTACCAACCCTTTCTTATTCTCTGAATCAGGAGTTTATCGATCTCTATACCCTTCAATGATTTAGGCTCCGTGCAAATAGGTTGGTATATATCAGAATTTGTTATGTCGGGTGTGTCAGATGCAGGAACATCCTCACTTTGTGAGACTATCTGTTCAGGAGTTATGCTAGTTATAGAATCATTTGTTTCACTATATATTGAAGTTTCTTTATCAGAGCGGGATTCAATAGATGGAAAAGTTATTTGTATAGGATCGGAATTATTAGCTTCCTCCTTATCGGGTTGGCTCTTAGCCTTTAGCCGGTTCACATCGGTATATGACAAAATATTCTTTATGGGAGTATTATCAGAATTTATTTCAGGGAGAATGGGTACTTGTAAATTTATTGGATTCTGCAAATTAATAGTATCTGTGCCTTGCGATTTCTGTTCCTTGATTAGTGAAACAGTTCGTAAATCTGGTTTCATGTTCTTCCAAAGTTTGTTTTAACTTTGTATTTTCAACTTTAATCTCAATATTCTCAGCCTTGACTTTTGCATTTTCAATATTCTCAGCCACGACCTCAGCAAACTTCTTTCTAAGTTCAGCGATCTGGTGAACAAGATCAGAATTTAATTCTCTTAATGTCTTAATTGTGGATTGTGGATTTCCCATTATTTTATACAAGTTGCAAATATGCTCAAAAGTTTGAAAAATAAACACGTGATTTGGGCGAACTAAGTTCGCTGAAATTTCTCCAAGAAAAAAAATATATACAGAATATACATTACACGAAAAAAATAATACATAATACATTATACGTTCCTCTAATCGAAATCTTTATTAATAAAATACAGGATAAAAATACATAGTAAAATATATGATAAAATATGGAGTCAGCAAACCAAGATAGCGAATAAGGATTACTAGCAATGTATAATTAACAAGGTCAACATCGGGAAAATTAAATAAGTGCAAATTTGCAAAATTTTGTATTTTTGCAGATTTTTGAAGGATTGTTGTAAAAAATCCGCGAAATTCTTTAAAATTTGAAGTTTTACACAGAACTCCATCTAATTTCTGCATTTATAGTATCAAATTTGAAGTTTTGCACTGATTTTCATTTGTTATTGTTTAATTTTTTTGCAAATCTGTGCAGAACTGCAATAAAAACAATTTCCCGATGAAAGCATAATTCTTTATTTTTGTAAAATGAATATTGACCGGCCGATTAAACGATATAACTGATTATTTTAGATCGTATAATGTATAACACCCAGGACATTAATTAAGTAAAAATTCCCAGCTGATAATTTTGAAAATCTCACGTGCAGATTTCATAAAAATTTTTATTTATACGCAAATTTTCAAACTTTGCAAATTTTTGGTTTTTAATTTGTCTTTTTTTTTCGTTTTTTTCAAATCACATTGATTGGTTCAATAATTATATCCATAAGTATGTCCAAAGTTGATAATGACGCATCCTCAGCCCCGAGTCCCTTAATATTGTGGGTTCTTCTAGAGGGCAAACCAAGTTCCACTAAAATTATTGTAAAGTCAAGCGATTTTACATCACAATGTTCTGACTTATTTGACTTTAAGAAAATTCTTAAGCAAGAATTTGAGGCTCTTAAGGACGTAGAATCGGATTTGATTGAATTTTTCTCTGATAAGGATCGAACACAACTTTGTTACGGTGGTGAGTTGCTAGCAGACCTTATTACAACTGATTCATGCCCACTTATCGTTCGATACCCGCTGTCCACATCGTGTAGTAAGTATAATACGTTTTCATGTATTTATTTTCCTATAATGTCTAATACTCATTTATCTTCTCCGTAGTCATAGTAACTTATAAATCAGAGAACAGAGCGATATGCGTACTGCTGCCACACTCTAGCGGATCTTGGGATTTGCTACGAAAAGATGTTATAAAAAAGTTCAGTAGTAAATTATCAAAATTCGATCATGCAAAAGTGGATGACCTCTATTTTGAAATCTCTGAAGGTAATCACGAAGAAAATCTTGATATTAAGAACGAGTTTCAGTTTAACAAGCTCGTGAATCAGATCGAAGAAAAAAATAAAAAACGTGTTCTTCCCGACCTTAAAGTCCATATCTTGACCTGGTACTAAGGTTGGGGCACGGGGTGTGGGTTCAAATTGTCACACGGGCACGGTATGTGATGTTATTAATCACATGTAAATTACTAATTACATGTGATGTTTTACTAATCAGTTTCATGTGATAATTTGGGGTGTTATGCCGTGCCCCCAACCCTACCTGGTACGTACAAAGAATGGTGTAATATCCTAATTCAAACTCAATTACTAGATAGAAAACCTTATAATGAATGGGAAATCAAAGATGTATTCACAAATGTTTTGCATCAAGATTATGATGGATCATTTAGCCAAGCATTTAATTTAGATAATCTCCCAATTCGCAATTCAATTACCGTAGAGGAGACGAAATTATTTGTTGAACAGATCAAAAAAACGATAAAAGTATTCAAAAAGAATATCAATGTTAATGAAGCAACTGTTCGGGAATATATATCTATTTTCATGAAGACCGCAGTTGATCACATTCAAACGTTTACGAACAATTCAGCACAGTTATACGTAGAAGCTGATCTTTTTGGATCTAAAGGGTATGGTCCTGTGGACTATTTAGTGGCACTCGACGATTTTGCGGTGTTAGTCAATAGGGCCAAAGCGCAAGATTTTACTAAGGGAATAGCCCAAAACATTATGCAATTGCACAGTGCATCAGAGGTAATTCTACCATTTTTGTATTTATTGTTGTGTTTAAGGTAGACCTAACTATTGATGCATATTTTCAGAGTTTATTAGGCAAGCGTAAGTTAGAACAGACAGAATTTGAATCATCGCAACAACAATTGTTTGGAATTGTAACAACTGGGGTTTCTTGATATTTTATTCGCTGGACTGGTTCTCCGGAAAACCCCAAAGTTGAAATCTCTCGCCAATATAATTGTGCTTTTGAAGAGGAGATGCTGCATGAAAAAAATGTAGTTTCTTATATTGTTCGTATACTAGAAAATCAAGACGATATGTTAAAAAATAATTTCAAATGTGCACGTAAAGACTAAAGCAGGCAAAATAGTATATGGTGGAATAGATTTATGTTACTCTTTCTTTTCGGATTTTTGAATAAGAAAGTTTTTATAAATAAAGATGGCTTCCCTTTGAGACATTTTTACGTGGCTTTGGTGCTATTTTTTCTGCGAATCAAAGGATTTGACACATCACTTCACAATAATAAAACGAATGTTAGTGCCTACAAATTTAACAATTACAACTTTATTTTTATAAATTTTACCTATACTAATAATTCTGTCGAGTTTTACATGCAAAGTTCATTCTAATGAATATCTTTATTACGCGGATAAAATTATCATTATCGTCATCACAACTATACTAACTTTATCACATTTTATGAAATCAGATTAAAAATAAAATTTAATATAGTGTAAATAGACAAGCCACCAAAAAATACAAATTTTGGGGTGTATTCTTTACATTCTACATTACACTATGTTTGGTCATAGGGTGAATCTTAAATGTATATTGGAAATCTTGACATCTTTGTTGCTTTTAACAAACAACTTAGTAGATTCTCTATTTATTAACATCATATAGAAAACAGAAAGTAGCACACTTTTGAATCAGGATAGATTTTAGAGGATCGTCTAAAGCATCTTCCCCAGTATGATTACGGTATGATTCCCCGAAAGTTAATTCCCCGCCAGCTCATTTTCCCGACACTAAATCGCCGACAGAATATTACATCTACAGTACATTTTCTTGACAAGACATATCTCTGATAAGACATATTTTCGACACCCCCTTTTTATGACAAGACATATTTTCGAAAAGACATTTTACTAACATGATATGTCCCCGAAAGAATATTTTTCCGACAAGACACATTTCCGATGTCTCTTTTTCTGACGAGAACTTTTCCCGATTAGAAGTTTACTCAACAAGAAGTTTCCCCGACAAGAAATCTCACCGAATTTCATGCATAATAACATTAAGATGCAGAATGCACAAAGTGTATGATTGTCTCTCAGTTCCCCGAAAACTATTTACCCACCAACTCATTTCCCTGACACCACAATGCCGACATTTTCGACAATCCTTTTCTTAGATAAGACATTTCCCCGACATTCATTTCTTCGACATAAAATTGGCCCGATTTAGTCTGATTTAGAGGTTGGTTAGAATTATGTATTATGAAATTACTGTCGGGTAAATGTCTTGTCTACTGTAAGAAAAGGATTGTCAAAAAAATGTAATGTTGAACATATGTCATGTTCTATAGATGAAATATCATGTCGATATTATGGTGTCGAAGAAATGAGTTGGTGGGTAAATTTCGGGAAATCGTGCCGTAGCCTTCGCCGAAAACTAAGCTAATGATGTATTTACAGTATATTTTCGCACCCGAAAATGTGTACTGGTTTGGGTTCGGATGATGGTCCGGAAAATGTCTTCAAATTTTTACGTTTTTTTCCCTTTTACTAAGACTTTATTTTTCAATATTTAATACAATTTATATACAGCACATATCTAATGCATAGAATAATACAAATAAACTTGAATTTCAACATTATA